TTTTGACTTAATTTGAGTCAAATTTTCAGACTAACAAGACAAATAATCTTACACATTCTGAAAACAAGATTATTATTCTTACATAATCAGTTTTGTTTATTAAATCAGTCTCAAAACAAGATCAAAAAGACTTTTTGGCTGGATATAAGATTTTAAAACTTGGTAAGATGGACATTTTTTGCAGTGTAAGCCCTATTCCACAGAAAAGGATTATGTCTAGGTGAGTTTTTCTATTTAAAAAAAAACCTCAGTTTATCCTTATTTCTAAATCTAGTTTTCTCAATCCATTCTGCATCCCGAGGCTTACAGCACCATGTAACGTTTTCTCCTCCATCTCTGCACTATCATTAGTCAAGATCATCAGATGAAGAGATTTTTCTGTTGATGGAGTGCAACATTATCATAATTATTGCTTGGATTGAGATGAAACGTTTTCAGCTCTGCAACTTTGGTAACAATCTCTGCAAGAACGTAAACTGCAGTGAAGGACAATAAGTCCGATACGCTGTGGCAGCCTGATAGTATCTTTTTTTTAAGCGCATGGAACAACTTGAGGACACAGCAGGCAAAAGGGTCAAACTCACTGGGACATCCAGCCTGCCCGACTCCTAAAGCGTCCGTCACGTTGTCGGAGCAGCAGCCGTACAAAGACAAACTGCAGTGCTGGACGGATTTCAGCTCCGTCGGAGACACCGATGATGAGGCTGATAGAAGACGGTACAAAGAGGAGAGAGAAGAACATTTAAGTGATTACTCGAAGGAGGGGACTGGTTGTGGTTAGGTACGGGGAGGGGATTAGACRGCACAATCTCAGAGCAACATGTAACTTTTTTTTGCCAACAATAAGATTGGCTGGAGGGGCAGAGGTGGAGAGGCTGGCAGTCGGATTCAAGATAACAATTCTATTTGCTACTTTTCCCCACAATGGCTCAAAATCAGGGGGAAAATGATGCTATTACCTCCAGTGAAAACAAACAATGGCTTTTCTTGTGAATGTACAGCAGCTGACATTTACCACCTCCTAGAAGGCATGTTCTCTTCATTTGTTCTTGTCTAACGTTATAGAATGGTGYTGCCACGCGGCAAAACTTCTGGCTGACAAAAAAGAAGAAGAAGAAAGGAAATAAAAAAGAAGCCATTACTGTATGTGAAGGAACGTGCCAAGCCGTTTCAGCCTGCGTGAAACGCGTGGAGAGCTCTTTTGTCTGAGGATGCACCGGCTGCCAAATAAGTGCGGCGGAGCGGCATTCAACAAAATATAAAAGAAAAGAGAAAGAAACAAACATGTTCCTAAAGCTGGCGCTTCTCCAGAAAACGGACAAAAACAAACTCCCAATCGGAGCCAAAAGGTGGTTTGTTTAATGGCCGAAGAGAGAAGCTCATCGCTCCAGTTTTCTCCAAGCTTTTTTCGGGGTGGAAAAGTAAAGCTGTAGATAAAAAGAACTCTTTTCATCATTTTTCTCTCTCTATGTCCCGCCACCCCATCTCCCTTTCTTATGTTGCTAATTTGGAGTTTGGAGGCTGGAGATCCAGAGGCCATAAATCACACTGTTACTGGCGTGGATATGAGCCTCAGCCTAATGGTGATGACTCGGCTCGCTCTTTTTCCAGCGCTTTCCCACTCCAGAGATGGGCTTWGGACACAGTTCATTTAACTTGCCACTTTCCCGCGCTGCATTCGGCTATCTGTACTGAGCCTATTAGGACAAGGAGAACTTTTAATTTCATATGTTCTTCCACCCTCCGAGGGTTTTTCCCCCCTTCAGTGGATATTGTCTGGCACAATGCAGTCCACTGCGATGTGCAATATTACCTTCAGATTTTTTTTCCCTTTTTACGCACAAATTTGCATCTCCATTAAAACCAATAAACTTTTTTTTCTCCTTTTCTTTTTAAATTGAACAGAAAAGAAAAACAGACCCCCCTTGTTAGCGGGGAGGGTCAGTAAGGTAAACACCAGGGAACGTCTCTATAAAACAATAATAAAAAGTCACATTGCTCTGTCTTTTTAATCCAGTCTGAGCTGTAAACGGTGTTCATGGGTCAAATGGGGAAGGCTTTCTTTGGATGAACTTGCTGCAAAATAACACGGTACAGAACTGAATAACATCTCCATAATGTGAAAATGCAAAATTAATAAAATGTGAAACAGTCACCAAGTTTCTCTAGGTGAGCACTAGTGGAAAAAAATACTTGTTTTAATTATGTGGCATAAAACCTTGCCATATACATAAAGGTACATGCATTTAAATTAGCTTGCTGCTCCTGCTGTACCTTTATAGATAAAAGAATGATACCTTGAAGGATAGGAGCACGAAGACAGATTTCTTTTTTTAACCTTTTGTTTGTATCTTAAAAGTATAGCTTTTCATCCTAAGATCAGTGTTGGGCAAAATCATATCTTGTGCAATTAGTCATCAGAAAAACATTAATCGATTATTTTTCGCACTTGATGATTAATTTGATTAATGCCACCAGGCAGACTGACTGGAGATTTCCCCGGTCAGTCCGCTCGATTCTCCTCTCCACTTCAAATATGACAAACTTAAAAAAAAGGTTGTGTAATTTACTTATCATTACTCCGGTTTTACTTGGTCTATCATCACCATTTGAATTTTGATTTATAGCCTGAAGTCTCAAGTACTTTTGAAACAATTTGGAACAGATTTTTACRGAGAGCAAATCTTTCCCACCAGAGTGATTTCAATTGGTCGTGTGACTAGGATATGAGGGCGTCCACGGACTCCAGGTGATTAACCGTCATATTAATAGTTATCGGCTAAATACCACAATTAATCGTGATTAAATKTTTTGCCACTATCACCCATCCCTACCTAAAGGTACAAAAATAATTWAAAAAACCCTTTTAGGTAAGCTAATGTACCTTTTTAGGTACATTCTTGTGCCCTTTTCTCGTGTGCACACACACCTCTCATCGCCCCCCCACTGTTGACGCCTGTAAACACTGGAAGAATTTTTTTCAAGCTAAATTGAAACAGAAACAGACAGATTTTCAAGCTTCTCTGTGTTGCTCTTACCCAACCTTTCACGCTTTGTTTGATGTCGAGTGTTCAGGTTTTATCTTCCTTTGATTCTTTTCTCTCACGGCTGTTGGCAAAAGGCAGTGAAATAAAACATTTGCCTGCTTTTAGATMGGAGTGGTGATCATCACTGATGCTTTAGCCGTCTGGTTCTTCGTAGGCGTCTGTACCAAACTATTACAGTACAATGTACATCACGTCCAAAATGGCAGGTTCCAATAAACTTTAAAAACTACGGCAGAGTTGAAACGAGGCTCAAGGCAGACTGCTCGACCTCAGTCATTAGAAAACAGCGTTATATTCAAGTTTCAAAATTTGAGGTCAAAATGAAGTTTCCATTCTTATAACTATTATAAAGGGCAGTGAAAATCCCAAAGATCTGAATCCTTCCATTAGCCAATAGAAGAGCAGAGCCCAGGGGTCTTGTACCCATTGAGGGCTCTTCAAAAAAGGATTGATTATCCATGGAGGGTAGGGAAGCGTGACAGTCAGTGCCCAAGGAGGCCAGCTTAGGAAGGAGAAGAAGAATCTGYGGGGATGTGTGTGAAAACACTCCCTTATTCTCACTCCCCTAAACTCCCTTCATCCTCCTCTCCTTTGGACCCGGGGGGAATCAGACAGGCCGAAATGATCGCACAAAATCCCTTAAGTGCCTTTTGCTCTGCTCTCCGGCCTCTACTGGCAAAAGCTCTTCATTTAACGTAACCACAGAGAGGAAGATGGTTAACCTCTGCTACTTAGCCTCTAATCTAACAATCAGTCTGGCTGATAAATGCCACTCATTGCATGCAAAAAAAAAAGAGCTTGTTTATATTAAAGCTGGTAAGGAGAAAATGGTATCCTCTGGGCTAAAAGGCTAGCGCAAGGTTTTCAGGGCAGAAAAAGTGACTCATTATTGCAATCAGCTCGGTTCATGTATGTGCCTGTGAGAAAGATTTGAACTCAAGCGCACTGAGTCAACGTTCCTTGAGCAAATCACACACAGAGACAAACAACACTTAACAATAACGTTCATCGTTCTGTTAGCTTTTGGCTACATCGCGAGGAGAAACAACACAGAGGACGTCTGAACCGTGACCCCCATGGATGGAATGAGTGGAGAAATGAGATGTCAGGGAAAATGAGTCTTGATGAGGGGTGCAGCTGCTGAAACCACTGAACGGGTGGGAGGCACCAACCTGAACAGGGTCCCACACTTTGAACCTCCAGGTGCTTTTTAGCCAAACACCTGGCGCTCTTTAGCGAACACTCGTTGTTGTAGGTTTGTCCGTCTGAGCCGCAGACCTGAAAAAAATAAATAAAAAGAAAAAAAGACAGGAAGACTTTTATGATGCGTTCAAGCTCATTCGATTTAAAGAACAACTTAAGAGAAAACAGTAATGAACATTAAACTGAAGGAAGGCCTGTCAAGATAACTAATTTTACTGGACGATAAATTGTCTCAGAAATTATCGCGATAAACGATGCCACGATAATATTATTTGGAGACCTTTTAAYTAATATATTGTCCCCCGTTTTAACGAAACTTACAGATGTTTATGAAATTTACATACAGAAATAAACAAAACATCCTACCTCTATCCAAGCCGGCACAATTTATTCTAAACACATCTACCTCTGGTTTCATAAAATTGCGGTCACCCGCACGCTGCTTATCACGCGATTAATTGATTTACTGCTCATCGCGGCAGGCCTAGGAATGCATATTTCCTGCCAGTGTCTTAGAGTAGCATCGTCTTATGTTGAGAAATGACAGAGCTAAAGCTCATCCCTCATGATCTCTTAGAGCTTGGACTGTATGTTTTGAATGACTCTGTTACTACCACACCAGATTTTTGCTCAATATTTGTAAAACTGAAAGAGTTAGAGCCATTCTTGTGTTTGCTGTGGCAGCCATATTGTATCGAACAGACTCTAAAAGTTAAATCAGTTGTAAAAGTCAAACAAATTATTATTTTCTGAGAGTTGCATTAAAATCCCTTCATGAGAGTTTTTTCTAACTGTACCAAAAAACAAATACTATTCCAGCGGGCAGCAATAAGTTCATAAGAGGCTAAAATTTTAGGGGTGCAACGATACAGATAATTCACAATTCAGTTCAGTTCGATACTTTAGTGTCACAGTTCGATACATTTTGATACAAAAAAAAAGAAATGTCCATGCCCTTTATAACTTGTAATTTATTTGAAGGAGACCAATTATGGGTCCTAGAAATTTTTATGGTATGTCTGTGGGATATCCAGACCATGTTCATTCAATTTAATGCACAAAAT